GTGTATAAACACGCATAGGGTAATCTATTTATAATAGAGAGATCCAACTAAAAGAGTAACCGAAAGTAAACAGAATAAACAGAAGATAGATATTGTAGTTAACAATATCTAAACAATATTTAACACTTTCCTCAAGCTGGAGTATACAAATCGTATCTGCCAAACTTATTACAAATATAATCAATTTTAGGTTCCTGTAAAGACTTAGTAAAAATATTTGCTGACTGATCACTTGAGTTAACAAACTCAGTCTTGATGTCTCCAGATATAATATTTTCTCGAATGAAATGACAATCAATCTCAATGTGTTTTGTCCTCTCATAAAAAATAGGATTAGAGCTAATATGAAGAGCAAGATAATTGTCACACACAAGTGTCATTTGAATGACATCTCCAAATTGTAAATCTCTAAGCAATTGTTTAAGCCAAACAAGTTCACAAGCAGCTGAGACCATAACTTTATATTATGCTTCTGCACTGGATCTTGCCACAACACTTTATTTCTTAGTTTTCTATGAGATCAAATTATCACCAATGGAAACACAATATCCAGATGTAAATCTTCTATCCGAAAGAGATCTTGCCCAATCAGCATCTGAGTAGGAAACAACTCTTGTATGGTTATTAGAACCATATAACAATCATTTTCCAGGAGATCTTTTAATATACTTCAAGATACGAATTACTGCATTTCAATGATCTTCACATGGAGAATTAAGAAATTGACTTACCACACTGACTACAAAAGAAATGTTAGGACGAGTAACTGTAAGATAATATATTTTCCAATCAATCTTCTATACTGCTCAGGATCAGATATATGTTTTCCCTAATTTGGTAGAAGTTTAGTATTGGGATCCATGGGTGTATCAACAGACTTTGAACTCATCAACCTAGTTTTCTCCAAAATATCCATGACATACTTCATCTGAGATATAACAATACCATCATTGGACTGTGTCACCTCAATAATCAGAAAATATCTAAATTTGCCAATATTTTTGGTCTGAAAATGGTGACAATGATATTGTTTCAACTGAGAAATGTCATGAATGTCACTACTTATAAGAACGATGTCATCAACATATACTATCAAGTAAACACATCTAGCACTCGAGTGTCAATAAAAGAAAGAATAATTTGTTTCACACTGAGTCATACCAAATTGTTGAACTTTCCAAACCAGGCCCTAGGAGACTGTTTTAGGCCATATAGGAATTTGTGAAGACGACATACCATTCCAGAAGACTCCCCCTGAGCAACAAACCTAGGAGGTTACTCCATATAGATTTCTTCTTGCAAATCACCATTGTGGAAAACATTTTTAACATCAGTTGATAAAGAGGTCATTGTTGAAGAGCGGTCATGGCGATAAATAAATGAACATAAGCCATTTTTGTCATGGGGGAAAAGATATCTCCATAATCTAACTCAAAAATTTGAGTATAACCTTTGGGCACAATACGAGCTTTGAGGCGTCAATAGTACCATCAGGTCCAACTTTGATAGCAATCACTCACCTGCAACCAACAACAAATTTCTCAGACGGTAACAGGACCAATTCCCAAGTTCCACTATTATGAAGAGCACTTAGTTCATCTAACATGGCCTGACGCCAACCAGGATAGGCTAAAGCTTCACGAATAATTTTTGGAATGATCACAGAAAAAATAGAGGAAAGACATATATAAAAAGGTAATGATAGTCGATGATAACTCAAAGCAATATAATGGAGAAAGGGATTACATGTAGAACGGATACCTTTTCGAAGGGCAATGGGAAAGTCAGACTCAGGTGTCAGATCTAGAGGAGACAGAGTAGTTGACACTTAAGTGAAGTCATGGTGGTGGTTGTGATTGGTTTCGACAACTATAAACCTGAAGAGGCGATGAAGAGGAAACTGATTGCGGAGCAGGAACTAATGGTGAAGAAGACACAGTTAAATGATCATAAACAACAGGAACATTAAATGTACTGGGAGTGTTGACAGAATTGGATGAAGACAGAGGTGAATATTGACTTTTAAAATAAAGCGAGAACTCATCAAATGTGACATCTGCAGAGACAAAATAATGGTTAAGATAAGGAAAAAAAATTGTATCATTTTTGTGATCTTGTAAATCCTATGAAAACACATTTATGTGATCTAGGAGAAAGTTTGTTAAGACCAGAACTGAAATTATGAACAAAACATGTAGACCCGAAAACTCTTAGAGGTAAGGGATGAAGTGGTTTATGAGGGAATAAAATAGAATGATGTATTTTATTATCTAAAGCCGAAGAAGGCATGCGATTAGCGAGATAACATGCAGTAAGAAGAGCATCACCCAAAAAATGTTGAGGAACCTTTCCATGAATTAAAATAGTGCGAGTTGTTTCAATAAGATGTATATTTTTACGTTCAGCTACACCATTTTGTTGAGGTGTATAAGCACAAGAAGTTTGATGCAAAATACTGTGAGAATACATGAATTGTTTAAAAGAATGAGAAAGATATTCACGGTCATTATCACTGCGCAAAACTCTAATAGAAACACCAAACTGAGTTTGAATTTCATTAAAAAAAGTTTGAAAGATATAAAATAATTCATAACGATTTTTCATAAAAAATAACCAAGTGCATATGGAATAACCATCAATAAAAGTAAAAAAGTATTGAAAACCTAAAGTAGAATTAACGTGGCTAGGTCCCCAAATGTCAAAATGAACCACAACAAAAGGGAACGAAACACTACATGTGACACTACGAGGAAAGAAAGTATGACTATGCTTCCCTAATTGACATGATTCACACGCCAAACTAGACAAGTTGGACAAGGCAGGGACAAACTTCTGTAATTTGACAAGACTTGGATGACCTAACTGAACATGAAAAAAAGAGGGAGACTCCATAACTGCACCAACATCCTGTGCCAATCACTTGTTTCGAACTCCAATCCTATAAATACACAAAATTGTTGGTAAAAAAATAACACAATAAAGAGAACAAGTTAGACGACTGATGAACAACAGGTTAAAAGGAGACTCAGGGACATAAATAATATTATCAATGGTTAAAGAAAGGAAAAATTTAACAATTCCAACACCATGAGATGATACTCTAGAGCCATCAGCCAGTGTAACAGAAGGTAAAGGGTTAAGAGAGGATAAAGAGGAGAACAAATATTTGTTACCATTAATATGATTAATGGCTCCTGAATAAAAAATCCAAGGACCAGGAGAAGAGGATTGGGTCAAACCAGCAATATATGTACCTGTGTGTGCGACAGACGTAGTGGATATAGAAGACTGTTGATCCTTATACCATTTGAGAAATTTGTTGAACATAGTAGGCGTGTCAAATGCAACAGAAGAAGGGTGGGGAAAGATCGGTCTTAACAACTACAACAGATCAAGGATGACGACCATGTAATGCATAACACTTATTAATCTTATGACCTAACTTGTCACAATGTTCACACTTAGGACATCATTTTTCCTGTTTGCGAGGACGAGTCTGATCATCACGATAATATGTCAACGCAAAAGAATCATTAACAGAATTGGAAATAGTATAAGGAGTGAAAGAAGTCATGAAGGACATGAGAACAAACCCTAAAAAAATCCAAAATAATCCAATCAACCAACGAAACATAGATCCAAAACAAGAAGACTAAAAACAAGTTCATCAAGACTAAACGGTGCAGAAGACAACAGACGACCAACTTCGATAGTGGTGATCTCAATGACACGATGGTTGCTTGACCAAGACGAGCAAAACTGTATGTCGTCAGTAAAAAATGAAACTCCAACGGCGGAGGAGGTGATGACGGTGACAACGACGACAACGACGTGAACTAGTACACCAAGTAAGTTCCCAGAAAAGAGAGGTTAGTTACTAATGAACACGCTTAAATACCAAGTCTTTCATTGTCAGAACATTCCTAAACATGCACTTTCATACTATCAAATAATATCCAGTAACAAAAATAAATTTTTTCTGATGTGGAAGATCAGTTTAACCAACAGTGGTGGTGGTGGTTCCAGTAGTGGACAAAAGCAAAAAAATTTCAAAATAACCTTAAGCTCTAGATACCATTTTGAATATAGAGGAAATAAAGTTTGAGATTAATCTCCCTTATATATAAATCATATATATATATATATATATATATATATATATATAGGGTAATTTATTTATAAAAAATAAATATACAACTAAAAAAATAACCGAAAAAAATTATAATAAACAGAAGATATTATTTGATATTATGATTAATAATATCTTAACAACTAAATAGTATTTTTAACATATATTACTTGTTTATATTTTTTATACTTTATTATTATCATTTAATATTTATTTGAAAAAAATCGAATATTAGAATTGAAGTTAACTATATTTTTATGGTAAAGATATGTAGTATTTTGAAAATTTTTCAAAATAGATATATTACGAAACTGCACTTAATGTTAATATTCAAAATAATAAAAGTATTTCAACAATATTGAAAATAATAAATAATATTTTAAATAACATCAACTATAGAAAATGGAAATCTTATAAACAAACACATATCATTAAATATCAGTGGGGACAAAGTCTCATAATAAGACAAGACTCCTTGACCGACAAAATGACGGTGTAAAATTAACCGTTTTTTTTAAGTTTAAAGTTAAACTTCAAATTAGAAAACTTAGAGGCTAACTAAAGCTATTTTTCTCATCATTATTGTGATCACCCGACAAAGAATGTAAGCTTCTTCGACCAATTTAATCAACAGTTTTTTAATTATTAAAACTATTATACTTTTTTATCTGTAACACTAACTGATACATACATACATACATATATATATATATATATATATATATATATATATAATTTTTTATGTTTAGATAATTATGCTATTATATTATATTCCCTTAATTAATGTTGGATGGAAAAAAGACAAAAAGAGAAAGAAGGTTGTGAAAGGTGAAGTCAACCTTCTATTCTACTTTCTCTGGCTTGCGAAAAGGGTCCAGAAAAGGCTACCATATCATTTACAAAAGCCACCATCAACAAAGTGATCAAAGTTCCTCTTTTGACTCTTTGTGCCTCCTTCCACGAGCCTGCTCATCAAACCCCTAATCATAAAAAGTTGAATAAGGCCTCTGAAATCTCAGCTACTGAGTGCGTAATCACTGAGATCTGCCTTCATCCTGGTGGGTTCAACAGTGTTTTATTCTGGGGTTTGTTGCCCCTTTTGCTCCCATTTTTGCAAATATGCATTTTCACCCATTAAAGTTTCAGACTTTTGTAGTTTTTGCTTGCATCTGAAAGGCTTAACCTTGGATTTGGTCACAGGGGTAGTTTTGTTGATGGGTGCTTGCTGGAGTAATAGGATTAAGGCCGTGAGTCCTTCCAATACAGGTAAGATTTTTGGCATGCATCTTCATTTTCTTCTCTGTCAACTATTGAATGAGTTAATTTTTCTTCCGGGGTCGGAAATGAACATGGATAGGCTCAAAGTTGAGAACTTTATGGATAGTTTTGCAGCCGTGTTCATGTTTCCAAGTCTATAATGCATGATTGAGATCCTTGTAGTGAAGGCCGCTATGCTTTTTCTGATACGGTGATCTGAGTCTCATGAATAATGGGGGTTTGATTTGAGAGACCCATTGGACTGGTAGACTTTGGATTTGGGTATTCATGTTTCCACCCCCTTGAAAAATCCTCTCAGGGTTGGTTTAGTATGTGAATAAAAATGGGGTTGGAAAAAGCTTTGAATGTTTTTTTACTACAATCCACTAGCAAAACTAACTTACGAGCTGTTCATTTGTTTTTAATCCCTTCGGAAGTGTGGTTTTCTGATTGGTAATTTTTTGTCTGGAGAAAAACTGTTATCTCAGCTGAGGGAAATTGTTGTTAAGACGACAGAAGAATAGTTTGGGGGGTTTGGGGATTCCACCACGTGAATTTGTTCTTACAAAGTGATGATTTGTTTGTTTTAAGGCCAGTGATGGTAAGTGAGTCTTTGTGAACTTGTTTTTCTTTGTATTGGTGAAGGGATCACCTCTAGAAGTGTCAGCAGGAGTGGCCATGACATCAGCTCAACTAGCAGGAACTCATCCGCCTCAATATCCGTCACTTCTCGGAGTGAAGGTGAAATCATGCAATCGTCCAACTTGAAACACTTCAGCTATAATGAGCTAAGAGCAGCCACAAGAAACTTCCGCCCAGATAGTGTATTGGGAGAGGGTGGGTTTGGTTCAGTTTTTAAGGGCTGGATTGATGAGCATTCACTTACTGCCACCAGACCAGGAATAGGCATGATTGTCGCTGTGAAGAGGCTTAACCAAGATGGTTTCCAGGGTCACAGAGAATGGTTGGTTAGTATCAATTGAATTATATGCTTGATACTTATTGTTTTGACTTAAAATTTCAATCTGTTGTATATTAACAAAATTCTAGTCAACTGCAAGCATTTTTGGATACTCCATCATTTTGCCTGTCTGATTCTGTGTGGGGGATTTTTAGTAAACTGTATGGACTTGACTATGATATTGAAGTTCAACCAATTCCCAAGTTGCATATTTGTTGATGTTTTCTCCATTTGAATCGTTTGACTCAGGCTGAAATCAACTATCTTGGGCGACTGCAGCATCCTAATCTTGTCAAGTTAATAGGATACTGCTTTGAGGATGAGCATCGGCTTCTGGTTTATGAATTTATGCCTAAGGGTAGCATGGAAAATCATCTTTTTAGAAGTTAGTACCTTCTACTTTAGTTGAATGTATAATTATTATTTTTTGTATGTACCCCTCTTTAAAGAAATTTTCACTTTCCTGTTGTAATAAATTAATAATGTAAAATTTAATCCTGTGTTCTAATACTAATGTTGGTTAAAATCATTATAAATACAGGAGGTTCTTACTTTCAGCCATTCTCTTGGAGTTTGCGAATGAAAATAGCACTTGGGGCTGCAAAGGGCCTTGCTTTTCTTCACAGTACAGAACCTAAAGTCATATACCGTGACTTTAAAACTTCAAATATCCTACTTGATACAGTATGTACATAATTGCAATTTGAGCATGTCCTTTTATGGTTGAAAATTTGGTGGATTTAGAATTGATCACTGAGCCCCTTTGTTGCATGTTGCTTTGCAGCATTATAATGCCAAACTTTCTGATTTTGGATTGGCCAGAGATGGTCCAACTGGTGATAGAAGTCATGTCTCTACTAGGGTCATGGGAACCCGAGGGTATGCGGCTCCAGAGTATTTAGCAACAGGTATCAACCGTAAATTTTGTCAAATTGCCCTCCTAGCTTAGATTTCACTCTCATGATGTATGGTGTGGTGTCTTGGTTGATAGACTACATTATCACGTAAATAAGATATTTTGGCTACTTTCTTAGTCTAGTTACTAAATTTTCTAAAGTGATCTTTACACTTTATTCTTTCAGTAGAGTTCTAAGCATTGTTTAGGATCTATTTGCTAGGTGTGGGATGGGAGTCCTGTATTGGAAGTATGGGATTCTCGTGTAGGGTTTACAAGGCTTTGAACTTTCCAACTGAAATAGCTAGCTTTTGTAGTGTGGTTCTTCCAAGATTTTTTATCAATTGGTATGTATAAGAGCATTCTGCCATGTCCCTCAGCTGCAAACTTTGGCAGCTATGGTGATGCTGTCATTGCAGTGTTTGTTGCCATCTTGTGATTTGTGAATTTATTACATTTGCACAGCTTTTAGTTTTTTCATATTGATATGCAAACCTGACAGTACTACCTATTATTTTGTAACTGAATATTTTGTGTTGTGCTAGGTCATCTCACTGCCAAGAGTGACGTATATAGTTTTGGAGTAGTTCTTCTGGAAATGATATCAGGAAGACGAGCTATAGACAAGAACCAGCCATCTGGGGAGCATAACCTTGTTGAATGGGCCAAGCCGTACCTGTCTAATAAGCGAAGAGTTTTTCGGGTAATGGATCCACGTTTGGAAGGTCAATATTTACACAGTCGAGCTCAAGCAGCAGCTGCACTTGCTATGCAATGTCTTTCTGTAGAGCCTAAGTGCAGACCAAATATGGATGAGGTGGTAAAAGCATTGGAGCAGCTTCAGGAATCAAAGGACATGCAGAGAAAAGGTGCAGATCATAAACATCATCATGTACGCAATTCCGGTCAAGGCCGGTCCACTGGCGCCAATGGTGGTGCAGATGTGCCTACAAAGGCTTCTGCTTATCCTAGACCTTCTGCTTCTCTCCTCGCCGGTTGAGAGAATTTTGTGATGCGGTAAGTCGTAGGCAGTACACGCAAGATTCAGAGGTTTAGGTGTGGCATGAACCATATTTATGTAAGCAGTGTATAGTTTGCATTATATTTTGTGCTATATATATATATATATATATAGCTTTTTTGGTTGTTGTTGCGGTCCTGATTGTTAGACATGCAAGAGAGTCTAATGTGGATCCTTATAGCGTTCATCAATTCTGAACCCTGTAAAAATCTGCAACACTACCCATGTGGTTGATGCACTACATATTTAGCTCTTGCTTTAAATATGGAAAAAAGTCGTCATAATGTTGACTATTTGACTTTCCTCCCCAACCACCAAGCCCTGTAGACTCTACTTTTTCATCTGTTTCAAATCATTCTGGTAGCATTGTGGGTCATTTGTAGTTCAACCAATTTTCTGTTATCTTCTGAAACCTTTTTAAGTCGAATATCCCAGCTGTGACATTTGTTGTATCTGGGAGAATCATTTTAGATATTTCTTGAAAAATAATCTTTCTTTTGGCATCTTCCCTTCTGATTAAGCTTTCTGATACAAATAATTTAACAACACACGAAATGAATAGCAATTTTTAACTGATTACATTAACTTAAACTGGAAATAATAAATCATGCACTCAACTCTTTTATTATTTGATCTGGTAGTATCAAACATCATTGAAAGAGAAATTGGTGGACCAAAATAGTTATTATAGGTAAGTTAACACTGTCTTGACGTGGCTTGCAAGAAGGTTGTCTGGGCAATATAAATACTGAGGAAATATTTGTTAATGGATTACGAGTGTTTATTGGCAAAGAAGACACTAACTATGATTTCAGGAGAAACACTAACAACCTACGGGTCCCAAGTTTCTGTCTGTACATTTCTTTACAAATTATTTTTCATCAAAATAAAAGATACTTAAAATATATATTTATTATTATTTCAGAATAAGATAAATATATAAAAGATAATATGGTAGCGCAAGCAATTGCCATGTGCTTGTAATACCAAACCTATAACAGCATCCAAAAAAGCCCAACTAATTCTCTGTTGGGCCAAAAGACCAACACTGTAGCAGACCAAAATAAGAATTTAAATTCTCACATTTTTAATATATATGAATATGTTCTCACATTAAGTATGTAAAACTAGTTAATGTTTGATGTTATATAATGTTTTGCATATAGTAAAAATTAAATTACTTTATCTAAACTAATAATTTGAAAATATTTGAAAAAAAGAAATTTTGAAATAAATAATTTTGTTACCAGAACCATTGGATATATTGGTTTGAGTTATAATCCTTTCGAATTTGTATTGAGAATACTAAGTTCAACATGTATTGACAACAAAAACAATACTTATTATCATTCTAACTTTTTATTGTTTTATAAATAAGTAATCAACACATGTTTATGCATCACACTTTGTCTACTTATAATAATTTACGCATCATCTATAATCCATTCAATAAAACATCTTAAAATAATAATATTATTATATGTTTTACATATAAATAGTTTAAAAAATGATTAAAATATTTATATGAATTAGTTAGATTTATTTAAGAATAAAAATCATTAAATAAAACATTGATTTTTATTCTTAAATAAATCTAACTAACTACTCTAAAGGGAAGGAGATGCTGTGTCTGAAGCAACTAGTTCTTTTAGCATATATCTGCTTTATCACTAACTTTGATGGTAATTTCTCGAAAGTTTTGACCAAATCAATGAATATTACCCATATCACATAAAGCTTCTAAAAAGAAAAAAGGGGTCAAACACAAAGCTTTTGCATATATTCATCATTTCTTTTCTGGGTTTCGGTGACAAAGAGAACTCATAACGATAACCTTACACAAACTACTAAAGCATATTTTATGAGCAACTAACACCGAATTAGTAGTTAGTTATGTTGGATTGAATGACTTTTTTTTAAACCCTTGGAATCTGGTGTTAAAGACTGTAGATGAGCACCCCATATGGTACATCCCCACCCCAGTAGTACCCAAAAGGTGATCGCATTGCATCAGATATTATAAATTGAAAGGGTGAAGTATAAATGCCTCTGCAATTTTCGTGCGGTTGTACTTTGTACGCTATCTTATTAGAACCAACATGTACCATGAACCCTATCCTTTGTCTCATGAGATAAATTCCTTGTCTATTACTGTCACTTAAGCCATTTGAAGCAAGACACGTGTGCAGCAAAAACCAGATTCTGGATATTTATAAGTATATCAGAAAACTTGGTATGCATAAAAAAGATATCAGTCTTTGGTTTGTAATAAAGAGATAGTTCTTATTTAAAAAGAAGAAAAGTTGATGTGTTTGTTTAAAGAAAGAAGAAGTAATGTTTGGTTTGATGGGTTGGGGAAATATATTCCCCCGGTAAAAACATATAGCAACAAAATAAAGTTGAATGGAGAAGCATGGTCTACTATCCATTTTATTAGATTGGTCAAATGTGTAATGTGTGGTGTGGTGAATGTAGTTCCACATAAACCTTCGAGGCCCACACTCAAGTAGGAGCAAGATTTTATATATGATTCATCACATAATTATGCAACACTGCCACAAAAGGCGCATAACAAAATTCGTTCTATATAGGTTTTGGACACTATTTTTTTTTCTTCATTTTTTTGCCTTTTTTTTACATAAACTAATAACAGAGATTTTTCCTAAAATATAAAGCAAAAAGTTATCAAAATATAAATAAAATAATATAAATGATTTAACGTTTTCCTTTTTCTTTTTCTACAAAATATCAAAATAAAATCATCTTAACTAGTATTCCATCCATAATTTCTCTTTCATTTAATGTTATACTTTTCTTTTTCTTTTTCTACAACCATTATATTTATACCATGTAAATTCAAACCAAATTAAAATAAAAGATAAAGTAATAGAGATTAATTATTTCATGTCTTTTGTCACTTGCATTCTTATTATGAGTCTTATTAAATATAGTGTGAATATTTTCAATATATTTTTAAACCTGTTTTTAAAATTTAGGATATCGGTGTAATCTCATCCTCTTATCTTCACTTATTATAAATAAGTAATAATTAATATTGAGGTATTTATGTATAAGTTAAAATTTTAAACTAAATACATATAAGAAAGTTGTGTAGTATATAAACGAGAGACCTATAAATTTAATACTTTAATATCTTTTTATTAAAAAAATATATATCATATTTTTTATATATATTTTTATATAATTGATTGATGGTCCTATTTATGAATATATATATATATATATATATATATATATATATATATAGTTATTGTCCTTCTAAAATATTATTTAGTAAATAAAATATAATTTAATAAAAAAATAAAGTGATAACAAGTATGACACCAATCTTGAATTTAGTTTCTGGTTAATTTCTTAATAAAAAAAATAATTTTTAGGGATCCATTTTTATTTTTATTAAGAATTTAAAATTGTATAGTTTTTTTTTATCAACTTATTTCCTATATCGTTTTACAAATATGATTGATAAATAATTTATATGAAAATGAAATATGATGTAGTCAAATAATTTAGTAGTTTCTTCTTCTTCTAACATGGCCTACCCACCTTAAAGTTTAATTACACATGAATGGCTTTGTTGCATTTTAGCATGTTCCCTTATGCAAGATGTCTTTGGTACTTAATACCACCCTATTGTGACATAATTTAATCTTCTATTTATTACACTGAACACTGAAAAATATGTCATCTTGGAGAAATACAATAATATATCTTACATAGAGGATTCAACCAAAAATAGCAACCTATTTGAAATTTAGAAATTATGAATATATATATTACTAGCCTTCTCATATTCCATGCTCCTTTTAGTTGGACCAAACTAAAATAATCTTTTCACTTGGAGACTTTCTTTACCAACAACAAGTTTGGTTTAAAACTTTATTTAATCATCCATCCATGAATGGGGGTGATAGTAAGTAACTTGCTGAATAAAGTTTTGGACTTGAATTATTTTTAGCCTTCACGTATTTGTAGCAAAGTAATATAACACATATTCATTAAAACTATTTTAACATATGGTGCAATATTCAAATTTACAAGAATGTGAAACCAAACTATACCGTTAGTTCCCACTAGCATAATTAAAAAACTATTTCATATATTAATGAAAAAGAAATTGAAGATAAAGGAGGACCACAAAGTGAAAAAGCTAGAAGTAATATTCATGAGTGATAGTATACCCAAATATTCCTCTCACTTTAACTCCCAAACATCATTCACTCGATTCTTTCTTTTCCATTTTCGTGACCATAAGAAGGGTGAAAAAGATGATCATTCTTTTTTGCTGCATAAACCTTTTGCCAATAACTTTATAACTAAGTATGTCTAAGGCTTATTGTAATATATTTTTTAAACAACAACAAAAGAATTTCACTAGTCTTATTTAATTTAATATCACTTCAAATCAACCATTTGTTGATATTGAAATTTTAGTATTTTAATACTAATGGTTGGAATAGATTTAAAAGATTTTATTTTATTTTTTCTTCTTGAATCATGCATCATCATTCCCACCATGTGTGTGGGATTTTGAACCACTCATTCAGAGCCAACATCACCATTTTTCTTCCTTTAATCCCTTCAGTAGGTGTTCTATATATCTTTGATATTTTAAGTAGAGGCAGTTAGCATATTGAGTTAACTATGGCAAGGGATAAAAATAAAAACAATTACCAAATTGTGTTAACATTGTGAAGTTGAAAATGACACAAACTAAGATTGGTAAAGAAACATATATCTAACCAAAGGCCCCGTCACTATTCTCGTTCCCATGAAAAAGTGAGAAAAAAATAACGTTGGTTTCCTCTAACTTCTTTGCACTTGCTTTTCAACTCAAAACGCGTCCTACCCTGTGCCTCGTGTTTGTGCAAATGGAAAACGACAACTCATGAAGATGAAAAATATGTTGTTTTTGTTCATAGTTTACGAGAATTTTCTGTTTCCTTTTTTTCTTTTTTTTCGAGTCTTTTACATTTTATTAAAAATAAATATCAAATTTAATTAAAAATATATATATACGTTATTACTGAAAATGCATGAAATAATGAACACAGCGAAATTAAAAGGAATTTTTGAAGTAGCGCATGTGTAGCATGATAGCGTCACACTTTTTAACGAAACCCGCAGACATCATTGCAAGAAGATGAAAACCAAAAGTTTAAAAAGAAAAGAAAAAAAGTTCAAATCACTTTTTTTTTTCCTTTTCTTTTTAGGATAAAACAGTTAGCTGCATGCCCTTTTTCTTTTTAAACTTTTTCTAAAAAAAAATATAAAAAAGTTGTAACTAACAAGTTTGGTTCATTGGTTTGGTAAGCAACTGAAATCTTGTAGGATAAGAATTTGAGCTTCAATTTTTAAAGATTAAGTCTTTTTCATGGAAATCATATCACGTTCGCATCCCAATGATCGAATAAAAATTAGATATATTTCTATCTTCATATTATAAAATATACAATCTATTAATAATATTTATTTTATATATTTAATATTGTTTCATCTTAGAATCTTGTGTCATTCAGTTACATAAATATCAGAAAGTGATAAAAAAATAAGGTCTTTTTTTAGTCCACTCAATCATAAATTATTAAATACGTTCATTACTGACTTGAACGCTAAAATATTTTGAAAATACTCACTTCCGATTTTCTCACTCCTCGTCAGAGCCATATATTTTTTAAATTACTTTCTAGAACTACATTTCAACACATGCAAAGTCTAAACTAATTTCTGCTTCATTTTCTATAAATGGTGAGTTATCATGCATGTATGAGTCCTAATGAAACTAAATGAGATTAATTGATATGCATTATGTTGATCTATTTTATAAAATAATAATAGTATTATTTTATTAAAATGTATATAATTACATCTAAATACAAATTATTTTTATTAGTATTAAATCAAATTTTTAAAATATATTTTTCGGATTAATTTTTCAAAAAATAAAAAATTAAGGACATGTTTTTTTTTTTAGTTTTTTTAATTTCAAGTTTCTTAACTCGTAGAACTAAGGTAAAATACTAGATAAAAAATTATGTTATATTTTAATAAGTTAAATTAGATCTTGAAATTTTTTTTACTTAAGGTTAATGTTAATTTGGTTTGACTCCATCACTCATTTTAATTGTCCTAACTAAAATATTATTAAGAGAATTCTTAAATATATAAAGAAATCTTAATTGTTACGTTACATTTTAGGATCATTATGTGTTGTTATAGGAAATATTATTTAAGAATTTATAGTGGATTTTGATAATTTTTCATTATGAGTTGGTTATTTAAGTTATAAATTATGTATTTTTTGTTTATTAAAAAAATGAAATACATAAAATTATTTTTATGATAAATGCATATATATATTTTTTTAACAATTTTTTTTTCGTTTTTAATTTTGTTAGTTAAAATTATATATATTTTTTTAAGTTTCTCTTAATAGTTCTATTTTTAAGAGAAGGTGGGTTCTTTCTTTTAATTTTCAAATTGTAATTTCTTCTAATTAATAATATTTCTTCTTTTTTTACATTATCAATTTTGTTCTTCTTTTCTCCTCTCTTATTTTAGCTTTGAGTAAATATTATGTAAATATGTTACTTAACAACACACAAAATCTATCCAAATACACATATTAAAAAAAAATTAAAAGACTATGAGACCTTATTCAAATGAAACCTTATTCCAAAGTCCAACTCTATCTAATCAAAATGCATCTTACTTAAAGATTTGAATATTCTAAAATACATGAATAAAATAAAAAATTGTATATTTCCTCTATAGTATAATAGCTATAGTTTATGTATATGGTCTTTGAACAATAATGGATGAATTACTTACTAAAATAATTTTATTCTCTTTATAAATGCATTACTCTTGTATGCTACAAACACAAACATTAATGTATTTTATATGAGAACAAATTAAGGAAGAAAAACTAATATTTTAAAACAGAGAATATTAATCAGTATGATTTTCTTAAAATGTTACAACTATGCAATAATTTTAGGACAGAGATAGTAAATTATTAGAAAATGAATGATTGAAAACTAATTACGTAACAACATAGGTAGAGAGGGAGGAGCAAATAGACATATAGGTGTTGAGAAAAACATGGTCGGTGTGAAACAAATGGGCTCAATGTAGAAAGTCTAAGATGTAATGATGTTGTGTACATAGGAAATGCTTTGAAGTAGGAATAAATTAAACTCTAGAGAATTAATAAGGTGTACCTTTTTTTAATTATTGATCAATATTTATGGTACAAAAATGAATATTTATCCAACCTTGAATATTTGAACAAGAATAAGAAAATTTAAAAACCAAATAAAAGAGAAAAAACTTGCCCATTAGGAAAAACACACACACAAACCCCATAGTAACTAAAATATACTTTTATTTATATTTTTCATATGATAGTACATTTATGTCAATAATAAAGCTAGAGCTGCGGGCTACATGTTCCCCCTTGCAACCTCTTCAGCCCCCTCACACACTGTAAATAAACATAGAAAAAAAAAGAAAAAAAAGGGTTTATAATGTTGGATAATTAATATACCAACATTGCCCACACATTAAATACTTTCACATTTAATGCAAACACTCCTCACTTACATTTATATTATTATTATTATTATTATTATTATTATTATTATTATTATTATTATTATTATTATTATTATTATTATTATTATTATATAAATAACCTTGACTTTTACTTTTCCTACAACTACGTTTTAATTTTTTCTTAATCTACCCCTACTTCTAAACTTTACCGGGAAAATAGAGGAAAGTTAGAAGCAGGGAAACTGAAGCAAACAACTGAAAAATATTAAGAGTATTGTTATTTTCTTTCTCCGTTCAGACACGGAAATTCTTTCCGGTGAAGGTTTGTCCGAACTGCCAATTAGGTGGTGCCACGTTCCAGGACGTTGAGGTGCGACGGTCACTGCCGGTAACCCTAAAGGAGAGGGCCTGGCCCACCAAAACAGCGTTGGATTGCCAATTTTGCCCCCAGTTGCGGCTCATGCTCATCCACGCGGTTTTGCTTCCCTTCACACTCACGCGCACGATATCCCCTGCACCCGCCACGTTGGTGATCAGCACCAGGTTGAAGTAACGGAAACCGTTGATTGTGAATCTGATGCCCCCTGTCTTTCTGCATGCCACCCTGCACCCAAATCAAACCATAAAAATAATTAATTCACTATTTTTCATTTCAGATACTAAAGAATTTATCCAACTAATTAAAATGGAAATTATATTTTTTGTAATCTTAATTTATACCATTTTCTAGGGATGCCCAAAGTCAGACTTTAGGTCCTGAGTTTGTGGGAATTTATTAACTTTCTTTGTTCATTTTACTAGCATGCCCTTCGAGTACTGAAGAATTTGCAGATCAAGTGTTTGGAAGACCATATTACCCTAAAAGGGTTATTAATGTCACCAACAAAAATTAGGTTATTTTTGACATTTGATAGCAGCCACCGAAACTCAAGCACGTATGTATCACTGAGCCAAAACAAAACACCGAGAGGGCTCAAAAGCGACAGAAAGAAAGTGGAAAAAACATCTCCTAGAATTGACAACGCATTAACCTTACAAATAGTGTTCGGATTAAAACCTAGTTCACAAGATTAATGATAAGTTTAATTGATATTTGTTACCAATGAATCATGGATTTGATTATGTGTAGCATTTAATTTATAGTGTTGTATGATAGATTTTGTAAATGTTATTGTTGGATGTGTTGTCAATTCTACAACAAGAATGCAGCTTTACTATTGTAGCTCCTTGTTTGAATCACAACTTGTTAATACCTAATGGCTATTTGTGTTGGTTTGTGCTGTGTAGTGGACAAAATCTCTGATTGAGGATTCTAATAAAAACTGCTGGGGAGATTCTAATAGAAATTTTTGTTTGTTTACCATGAAAATGAGGGTACATGGAGGAAAATATGGTGTGAAAAAGGCAAGAATTTTGAATATTTATTGTTGTTTTTGTGTGTAGTACGGTATAATATGCAAATTCATATTTTCAGGAGAATTCCATTCCATAATGGGAACTTGTAGCAATTTTAACGCTCATCTTCAAGGATTGTTTGTCTAGTTTTGGTAAGAAAAGCAGTGATGAAGCTATAGATTTTCCACTGTCTATACACACATAAGATCCCAATAGCAAAAGAAAAAGTAAATATATTATAAGTATCATAAATGTAAAATTTATTTTAGGTTCATTGATTAAACGCAAAAATATATAAAGTTATCATTTCATTGATTAAATTAATGCCTAGTTTGGATATTATTATCAATACTATGTCTAGTTATAGAAAAAAAAATTATTTTGTTAAAAACTAAAATAGAAACTAATAATCATGCACGCTCATTTGTTAATTATAATACCCTATGGGTATTTTTTTTATGATATTATAATAATTAAATGTTCCCACGGTTTTCCCACATTTTCTTAGCACCCAGACGGTGAAAACACATGCAAAGGAGAAAACTTGAAAACAACCCCATTAATGTACCCACAAGAGGGGGTGGCGGGACTCACCGGCGGTAGGCGACGGGGACGATTCCGGCGCGGTACTGGGCGATCTTGAGGAACATTGGCATGGCGAGGTCGAAGTGGGGGCGAGGAGGGTTGCACCAGCCGCCATTGTCATTGGGAAGAGCGAAGTTGGGAGGGCAGAAATTGGTGGCGGTGATCAAGATCGAAGGGTTGCCGGGGTTGCACCACCGCGGATCCTGATCACACTTGATCTCGAAGCACGCGCCGCAGCTTAAGCCGTTGTTGAACAGTGCTGTGCTCAGCGCCGCCGTGTTCACGCCGTACCCTTGGCTGTACAGGTTCCCGTACCCACAAGCACCACCTGGAGTAACAAAAGAAGTAATTTGTTCAAGGGTTGTTTAAACATAAGAAAGGAAAAAAAATGAATTTACTCGTTGCTTGAGTTATGTTGTTGAGATTTTTTAAAAGGGATTGAGGTTTTGTTTTGTACTTTTCAATAGAGGGTGGTTGGGTTGAGATTTTGTAGATTTGGGTTGGGGGAAATGGATAGTTTGTGACGTGTAAGAGTTTTGAGTATAAGGTAAGGATTCAAAAAACTACATGTAACTGCAATTGTGCTGTGACAGTACCGTCAAGGTTTTTGAGGCTCTGTCATTACAATTGTGGTTACATTAGCAACATTTACGTGTAGTTTTTTGCTCTATCAAGGAGGATTATGAAAAAAAAGAAAAATTGCAGCTTTGAGCATAAAAGAGAATACTTGTGGGTGTACATTTGGGAAAAAAAATAAGGGAGAAGGGTGAACGGGTTTGGGAAATTGGTCATAAAAGAGAAGATTCTGATGTCTAAGAGAACGATATTTTGCTTTGGAAAACTTCAAAATTGTTTTAAGAGTGTAATTTCAGAAGAAAATTGAAAATGTAACATGGGGAGTGGTGATTACCACAGGTAGTAGAAAACAGAGGAAACAGAGAAAAACAGAGGAAACCAGAGGTGAGATTTAACGGGGGATGATGAAGAATGAGGAGAAGAAAGAGGTTTTACCCATTGTTCCAGAGGCATCACTGCCACCATAGAAAGTGGCATGAGCACTCTGCCAGGGGCCACCGGTGTATGCTCCAGGGATTCTTGCACTTGTAGCAACAAAAAGAGAGGCCAATGATGCAATGTGGAGGAAAACAATGGCAGCCATTGCAAGAGAGGGAGAGAGAGAGAGTGGAGGAGTAGGTTGGTTGTGTGGGTTTGAGAGTGAGTGGAAAGTGAGAAGGGAAGGGGGGTACTTATGGAGGAGGGGCAAGGAGTGGACTTGCAGGTACAGTAGTTTCCGAAGCAATAATTACCATCAAAGTAACTTATATTCTTTTTTTTTTTTTTTTTTGAGTCTGCTTTCTGTTATTTTTTTGCTCTCTATTTTTCTAGGACTAATTTAATTGGTTGAAGTTTTTTCTTTTTCTACAAGGAATGTTTTGATCACCCTATTATTTATGGACCATGAATGATATGCATGTGCATCACACATTCTCCTCTCTCATGTTAAAACTGTTTGGGTTAGTGAGAAAGGGAAGTCGAGGGTGAATGAATTGGGGGGGAGCACATGATGCATCATGGAAAGACATGACAAAAAATTGACGAGGGAAGGACCCTTCTTCATTTCACACCAAGACCATGATTATTCATGTTGTCCACAACACAAGCAAAGTCTAGTCCCTCTTAGCTTATCTTATGAGAAAAACCTCCTTTAACTCCAAATTTTGTCCTTCACCAATAAAATTTACAACTGCTTCTTTGAATCAAGGTCATCTTGTGATTCAAACCAACTCTCATGAAAAATTATAACTGTTCAGTTATTAGTAGCTCTGTTTACACATTCTAAAGTTAATGTCATTTAGTTAACAATAGTCATATTAAATATTATTGGGGTCATTTGTATACAATACAATGAAACTTTTGTTATAAAAGTATATTAAAAAGAAGAGACAAATAGGGAACTTTTGCTTTCTCTCAACTTGTTTGACATGGAATAAATATCAAGTAAAAAGTTCATACCTTATCATCTTTCTTTCATTTTTTTTTTCTTCCTAGTGTTTATTTTCCACTAATGGATTATTAATGTTACCTGTGAAGATTTTCTTTTCTAAGCATTGTGTCATTTGTGTTTAAAACTAATTTTCGTTGTATTTCTTAAAATTTCTCACAAACACATTCTATATAATTAATTCCATCCACAATGGGACCCTTCATTCAACGGTTGTGACTCGATCATATTTTCATCTACGCGTCTAGTTAAGTTTTCCTCTTGGTGATGAAAAAATAGAGATTATACATGCATTCAAAAATTCATGACGTGAGATTATTAATTTTATTTTATTTTAACTCCTTTTTGGCAATATGGTTTGATTCCTTCCAAGAAAGCATGTAAAGAAAAATCACTTCTTTTTATATCCCATTAAATTTAAATACTTCAAAAACTTAACTTATTTTGAAAATATATTTTTACAAGAGGAAGAAAAATAATAAAATAAAATAATTATTTTAATCAGTTAAAATTAACTTATATTTACTAACATAGTTTGTAAATAGAAAAAAATGTAATTAGGAATGGAGATTCTATAAAAAGTGATTAACCAATTTTTTTTTAAAGTAAAGGTGATATAATTGGTCACTACATGATCACTATATTTTAAAATAAAGGTGATATAGTTATTCAACCATAAAAACAATCAATAGATAAAAGTGTAATTTCATACCGTGACTAAATTTATATCCAATGCAAAATCTTAGTCACTAGATTGCTACCATAAATTTTTTATATCTAAATGTTGTGACTATTTTACCTTTGCTAGTATGACTTGTAAGGGTTGAAATAGGCAAAATCTAACAAAGATATGAATAAATAGGTATGACTTTTTTACAAATTTCAAGGTTTGACCTCACCTTTTCGAAAGTCTAACTCTATAGGTTAACCTATTTAAAATATTTTATATGTTTATATATATAACTGATTTATCGTAAAATATTCTTATCAACTAATACGCCAACTAGGAAAAAAGAAAAAAGCTTCCCAGAAACTATGAAATTTAAAAGTTACTAAGACTGTCCAAACATGACACAAAAGTGAAAATAGGGTAGCTAGGCTTTACAAGAGTTGTGTTCATCATTCCTATATATGAAATAAGCTTGTTTTTAAGATCTAATTTATTAACCTTAAGATTATGTTTTACAACATTAACTCTAAATAAGGCATATATTTAATTGTCAATAAGTTGGTTTGCTTTTATGTAAGTCAGCATCCTTAATATTTAAAAAATATATGTAGTAGGTATATGATTTTAATACATTATAAATTTTGTAATGGTTATACTACAAAAATTTATGTTACTTAAATATGTCAATCTATTAAGTTTACAAGTTTTTATAAATGATATAAAATATAGGTGTTGAATGACCTTATCTATTTTCACCCTAATAACTCAAATAAACTAAACATTTTTCAATTACGTGTTTGGAAATTGTAAGAGAAATATATCTCAAGATGATTTATGATGGAAGATATAAACTTAGATTGATCATGGAAGGCTATATTGAATTATTTAATGAGTGACGTAATTATAGTTATCCGTAACTTAATGATGCATTCTAGAAGTTGTCATGAGTTTTAGTTTTACTTGTTGGTACTATGTTTCCCTTTTGCTTTGTGTTTGAAATTAGTTTTTAGAAGCAATGTTTGAAGCCTATATAATATGAAAGCTTTTTATCAAATTTTAATGTAGGAATTGTTGAATTATAGTTAACTGGATAAAATTCCAACAAATACATAGATGTATAGTCTATTAAAAAATGTACGAATAATCCTATCATTATTATATACATTATTAGAGCGGTCAAATTATATATAGTGAAATTCTCTACGATAAACTTATCCATAAATTTTTGTAATAACTTATTCTTTTCTTATTTTTTGTTTTCAAAGATGGTAGAAGTTTCTTTATAAGGTATGTTAGTTGCAAAACGAACTTTGAAGTTATTATTCTGTTTTTTAAATAAGTATACTATTAATAAGTTGAGAGGCTTATAATATCATAACAATATTTTTTTCTAAGCGTGACGGGGAATATTTAACATTTGAAAGAGTATTTAACCAAGAAAACCCTTGTAGATAAGCTTGAATATGTTCTTTTGGAGTTTTTTACTCCATTGTATAACTCTATTAGAGAAAAAAACTTTTTTACTATATTGGTTAGAAATAGGGTTATTGATACACTTATTTAGTTGGTTCAACAAAGTCCCACATCATTTACATCATATCATGAGGTATGATTTAAATATTTGTTAGATTACTCCACATATTATTAATTGATTTTATGTTGGAACCTTAACATGATATTAGAGGCAAAATCTAACTTCTTTTGACTTGTTGTATTAAGCCAAAAATTATCATTTTGTTGTATTGTTTGTCTCATGTTATGCGATATGATTTAAATATTTATTAGACTATTTTATATATTATTTATTGATTTTATTTTGAAACCTTAACAACATATTCATTCATCAGTACTTTTAAGTGTACTTGTAACTCGTGTTAGTTGGTACCCATATCTAGGTTACACACTCATTTTATTATAAAAAAGTTTGAGATTTTTGATATGGTTCCATTGTTTGAATTGTTTTATACTTAGATAATGATTCAATTACTTTAGATAATATATATTAATCATGAGAATGATTTTTTATTTGTTTTGTCACCTTGTTTGATCGATGAACCAAAATTTATAACTCAGTAACGAAAAATCTTTATATTATCATGATATTAATAATAACACATATTTTTCTTAGGAGACGCAAAATTGACATGAAAATGTGTTGTGACATTGGTGTGTAGTTAGACATTTGTTTACTATTATACTTTCTCAATATCTCAAATTGAGATAATGGTAGTCATATCCATGATAGAAATCCTTGACTAAAAGTTTTACCATAAAATATTTCTATAAATAATATATTTTAAAAGAAATATGTCTCAATTTATTTATTTAAATAAACATGTTTATTGTTTTTATGTATTTTTTTTCTTTTATCATATTTTTTTGCTCTTCCCTGGTTCATTCCTTATTTTTCCTCTTTTCTATCTCAAGTCTTTTTTTTTGTTTACTCTCACTCCCGTTTATTCTTCTAATTAAACTATTATATTAAAATTTAATAAAAATACATTAAAATAAAAATTTTAAAATCAATATTAAAACTAAAACAAATATAAACTTATTATTTAAAAATATGATGATATTATGACAATAAATATTTTTTTAAATGATGATCTAAATAATTATTTTAAAATTATTTTATTATAATAAATAATTACTCATCTAATAAAATAATATTAAATATTTACGAGTTAAATGTATTTTTTTACTTAATAATTTAATTAATTTATAATTAGATTGAGTTATAATAATTAGATACATTAAATAATTTTAAAAAATATTTATTAAAAAAATTACTTTAAAATAATTTTTTTCTTAATAATTATAACATGATAATAATATTTATAATATCTTAAATTTATCATATAATATTTTTTAAATATAATATGTTAAAATGTAGTATTTCTAGACTATTTAAATATTTATATTTTTCATAAATAATAAAAAAATTATTTTATTAAATTTCAATCAATTATATTTAATTAAAAATAAGATGGAATGAAAAAAAAAACAAAAACAAAGGAAACATAGACACCGAATGATGACAATAACGAAGAATAAAAAAAATAATTTAGGAAAGAGAAAAAATATAATTATATTTCACACGTTTGTCCTAAAAATAAAAAATGTCACTTAAAACATTTTACTTTTCTAATGATAATATACAAATAGCATTATCCAAAATATATATGAACAAAAAATATGGTAATAAAAGATAAATGAAATAAAAAGATAATATATGGAAAGTAAAAATTAGAATGAAATATAGTTGACAATATTATAATAATGAATAACTTAATAATTATTTTAATTATCTTCCTTATTGGTAATTTTTAGTTTAGATATTATTTATGATCCATTTAGTTAGAAGGAAAGAAAGTTAAAGAAAAGAAAGTAAAGAAGAAGGAAGGAAAAGAGATAAAATTATATATATATAAAAGAAGAAAATGATATGAAAAAGGAAAGATAATATTTTTTAAATATAATAAATAAATACATCACTTTTAAATGTTTTTTTAATTATAAAATTATACATATAATTATTAATTTTTTTTAACAAATGAAATAACTTTTCAAAATTGAAATATTTAAATTAATATATATATATATATTTAATATATAATTATAAAATAATATTACATTAAAAATATATTAAAATTATTTATTTATTTTTTGTTATTATTTTCATATTTATCACACATATTGAAATAATATAATTAAAACTCAATATAATTATATATATAGTAGAATTTAAATATAAAAATAATAAATATTTACTTAAATAATAATAGTTTTGTAAAATAATATTGACCTTATTCTTTTCAACTTTTTACTGTTGGTGTAAAAATAAAAAAAGTCAAACATATATTTTATAAATAAAACATATAGATTATAATAAAAAATTATATATTTCTCTCTTTTTTTATTATTTGTTAAATAATTTATTTTTTATTATGCATTTTTATTTTGTACTCTTTATTTTGTCCATCTAAACACAAACATATTCTTAGTTCTAACTTTTTATTTATTTTGAAATTTAAAATGAAAAATCATTTTTTACAGATGTGATTTATGTTTGGAGAAAGGGTGAGGAAGCCTATGGTTGAAGCTAAAATGAATTGAGATGAAGTGAAACAAAAAAGAAAAGAAATGATGAATAAATAAAAAGGATAAGATGAATATGCAAGACGTTAGTAATGGCTGCGTAGGGTTGAGGGTCACATCAAGACCCTGAACCCATGTGCAGGTTCAAAGGCCCAGATATGTTTGTTCTCTCTATTTCAGACTCTCTCTTCCTAATCTTCCATTCAAACTCTTCAAACTTCAATATGAATTGAACATTGGAGCCTTGGAGGACAGGTCATTTACTCACATTGGTTTTAGTAACATGGCTCAAATGCTCTATTTTCAACCCTATTTTTAAACACATGTAATTGTTCTTGTTATTATATTGTTGTTAAACAGCACGACAAGTGTGAAGAAAATTGATTGGAAGGTTCATTGATGAGTCTCACAGGCAGAGAGGGGTGGTAGGCATGGGTGCACACTGACACGCAAGCCATGCAAATTTTAAAAGTGACCCACTCACCGACGAACCAGATCTTCCAAATCTTCCACGTCAGCACGTAGTTCAACCACAAGTTACCAACCCTTCCTAAACTGCATGCCAAGACACGTGAACGTGCCACCATGTGATGCTTTTCCCCTCCCACACTCCTCTTATTTATTTCTATTTCCTTTCTCTTTTATTCAATTTTCTCCGTCACCATGCCCTTTTTATTTTCATTAATTCTTTAACAAAAATATAAATTGGTTTTGTACTTTTCGTCTTCTTTATGTTCGGCTTCTCTTTTTGACCTTCACCAAACATCCACCCTATATATCTTGCTGTCTTTAACATTTCTGCAGCTTCGTCCCTTAGCAACATGACTTTGTGCTCTATTTAAAGGTCAATGAAGTGTCCCAAATTGTATGATTTGGTTTTAAAACTTCACTATAATATGAATATAAAGTGTCACAATAGCAGTTAATATATATCTGTTGATAGAAGTGAGTTGGTTTCCTCAATTATTTTCTATTAAAAAGTATGAATAATGTAAAACTTATGTGGTAGAAATATTCAACCACGTAACGTAATTCTTAAATAAAATTAACGCATGAGGAAAGATACGTTGATTTCACAAATAAAACTATATATACGTAGTTGTACTCACTTTTATCTTTTGTCGGGCTGGTGGTACCGACAGATACGTTGATTTCGCAAATAAAAATACGAACTTCTGCCAATGTTATTGGCGAATGCTAAGAACTAAGCACAAAAAACATATCACGCTTCACCAAGGAATAACAATTAATCTATTTTGTTCCCGCATATAAAAATTAAGTAAAGGATCATAATTAGGGAACAATAGTTCTTTAAACATTTTTCTTGCATAATTGTAATTAATACATCTCCAAATATAACAAAATAATAAACAAATATATACAAATATAAAATGGTGTATTGAACATTGTTACTAGCATTACTTAAAAATGGTGTTTTTAAGGTTTGACTTTTGAGTTTTGAATATATTAGCTAGCTGCCAAACACTGCTCTTGGAACCGAAGCATATTTTTGAAGTAAAGAAGAACTGTTTATACACCCTGTAATCCATATATTTTTTTTCCCTTTTGGATCTTGATGAATGTGAAAAATGGACTCCACTATCGATAGTACTAATCATGAGTTCTTCGATAATGTCTCTAAATTTATATTTATAAATTTTACTCTACCGTTTTCTAATGAGTAGTCTTTTTGTGCTTTGTGCTGTAGCATGTCCAAAATAAAATAAAATTCAATTGTTTCATTCTAAATCTTCTTATTTGTTAATAGTAACTTATACAATAATATAACATTTTAATGCAACTGATACCACATGACTTCAAGATGAAAGCAAAATAGTGAGTAATGTAAATACAATTATTCCTTTAATTTGGTTTACTCAAATGTCTATGTGTACGGATCACTCATAAATTTGAGAAATGGTGTTGTTTTAAATAGAATAGATTAATAATAATAATAACTAGGTTTAAAATACGGGGATTGAACACCCAAAAAAAAAATGTTATCAAAATTTGCATTATTTTATACATGGAAGACACTTAAAGTTAGGTGATGGTTACTTCAATCACATTTATGAGTTGGCCAAGCTTAGGTTACAATTTTTGTAGGTTAGCCAAATGGAAAAGTGAATTAATTTAATTGCTCATCCTATTGAAAATTAGATTTAATTATTCTTTACGCAAAAGACTGTACCTTAGGGTCCAATTTTCCGTACCAAATCATATGACGAGGAAAAATGTCTATATTTATAATGAACAACCACCATTAGAATAATAAGATATACGTCGGTGATACACAGAATTCATAGACAACTACATGTATGCTTGAAACATAACATGCAATTGGCTTCCACAATTGACTTTCAGTAAATTTTAAAGCAAATTTGTTTTTAAATTGACCCACTGATTATCTTTGACTTTTTTTTTTTTTTTTTAATTTGCATTATATATATATATATTTGTGGTTCATACTTGATGAGTTAATGCATTATGCATGCTTCCCCACTAAGTAATCATCTTCATTAGTATTCATAATTAGTTAATTCTAAAGAATTATAACTTGGTTCATGGTTGACAAATTATAACCATGATGGCTCATCACTTAATTATATGGGTATAGAATTCCATTTGAAGAAATGTATATGCTATTATTAATAATAATAGTGCAAGCTTAATTTATGTGTGTGTATGGTGAAGGAAGAATAATAACAATATTTTTTTATGAAAGTGTTGTTGAAAAGTAAGGTACGTGGTTACGTGTTTTGAATGCATGAGTTTAAGATAAACTTATCAAGGGTTTTTGTCTCGTATCCCATATGTCTTCATTTGCCTTATCAGGTTCATTTGATGTTGCCTGCAAATCATGGTGAATCAAGTTTCGAAAACTTGGAGAAAAATGCATGCATTCCCAACCATAGATTCTTCTGAATTGTGATTATATTATTGGCTTTTATTGCAAGTTGCATGCAAGTTGACGAACCACACCACACAACTTGATTTTTGGCTACTTAAATAAGCCAATAGGAGATGCCTCTTTTATAAAAAAAAAACATTCTCGTCACTTTAATTTAACCATCACAATTTTCTTATCCTTTAAAGTAAAATGTTGATCGATTGCTAAATGTTGTTATCGCCTAATGTCTCATAATGATGGATAAGGGCGAAGTGTAATGAAAGTGAAAGAGAAGCGATGGATGGATTAATTTTGATCATATAAAATGTTTGGATTGTTGGGAATTTTTTCCTTCAATCTAATCTTATCATTCATTGAAATTGTATGATGAAGATTAATTAATCTTCATGTTCTAACTCAGTTAAATCAACTAGGCTTTGAAAATCATACCAATCTGAAATAAAATCGATTCAAAAATTAATTTGATTGAATTTTTTAAAACCAATTCAGTACACTATAAAAAATCAACCTGAATTAGATCAAATCGAAATTATAATATATAATATTAAAATTAAAAGATAAACAATGTTTATTAACAATAAGTAATTAGTTTTATTATAATTTAGGATAAATATTATTATCATTTGTTAAATTAAAGAAATTTAAATTATGAATATGGAAATTAATTATATATGATATTTTATAATATATATTTAATAATTATTTTATTACAATATATTTTAATAATTTCATAATAAAAAACATAAAATTTATTAAATCAAATCAGAAAATATTGGTTTAATCTGATTCGGATTTTAAAAAATAAAAAAATTTGAATTGGATTTAAATTTTATGTTTTATATATTTAAGTAAATGAAATTAATGTGGATGGTGACAGGAAGACGTAGAAGGAACGCATTAAAAGGTGTGAAAAACAATTTTATTAGAAAGACTTAAATAAAGTTATATAGTTATAAAAATGAAAGATGAAGGAAATGTTGACGAAAAAGACAAGACAAAAGAGAAGATGGAAGCATGCGTGAAGCTGTGATGGGAAGGGGACAAGAGCCAGCATTTGAGACTTGAAGTTTGTAGTGTGGAATGAATTCATGGAGGAGCAGTCAATTGGGATTAGGACGTTGCATGTGCTTTCTCTCTTCTCCGCATCCAATTTCAAGGGATTTGATGCATCGTTTGTGATTGTTTGGCCCAACGGTATTCAATTCCATCATCTTCCACAACTTTCAATATATCACCAATATCATCAACAATACATACATCCTCTAATTTACACAATTAAATACATTGTCTCTTCTCAATTCTCGCCAAATTTACAATTTACTTTTATATCTAACATAATACATGTCCAAAGTCTTCAGATATAGATATAAATTTATATTATTCACTGATAAACCATGGCAAAGCTAGGAATTAGATTATAGTTGTGGCTAAACCATGTATTTAACTTTGTTTATGTTTGAATAGCGTGGGTAATAAACGAGAGTAACCTACCTTGTCAAAATTGTGACTAAATATGTGGTTACTAACACTAAAATTAATATAGTATATATTTTTCTCATAAAATATTCATGTATGTGTAAAATTAAGATATTCCTACAATGTTAGCATCTCAAACTCACTTATGAAGCAAAATTTAAACAAATCTAAAATTTAAAAAATTATTCTTATTTCTAAAAATAATTCATACCTAATAAAATTAGGAATAATATCCCACTATACAAAATCTTGTCCAATTTTGTGTAAAACAAGATTAATACATGACTAACCTAGTTACCTTCTCATAGGTTTTGATTTTGATTTGGACTATACCTTAGCGGGTTTATTTTATATTGTACCTACATACAAATTATATAGTTCCAATAACAAATCATATATTCTCTTCTCATAGAGTATGCTCCTAATGTTTTATAACTATCACTTAACAAAAGATATAAACAAAGATTTCATTTGATTCCTTGACATAAAAAATAATTCGACGCACACCACTAGTTCAACTTTATTCAACATCATGTAACTTATCTTTGTTTTATTATTAAATGTAATTTGGACAGAAGCTAAATACAGATTTTCAAGTGTTTTTGGTGTTCACTACAAAAAAAAACACTTATTATCTACGGATTATAATTCGTAGGTAATGCACTCACTTAAACAAGATATTTTTATTTACTACAACCCCCTCCCTTATTTTTTATTATTACCTAGGACCCCCCTCCCCTTTATATTATATTTTTATTATTTATTATATTTTTAGAACTTTGAATTATTATTAGATTAATGAAATTATTATTGGCGAGGATTTGAACCCAGTACCTTCATGTTGAAGATCGATACTCCAACCACTAAACTATTAGAATATTTTGATAATAACTTACAAATAAATTATATTTATATTTATCCAGTGTAAATATATAAATATAAAATATATAAATATAAAATATGTAAATATAAAAAATATATAAATATGAAATATATATAAATATAAAATATAAAATATATAAATATAAAATATAAAATATATAAATGTAAAATATAAAAAATATAAATATAAATATATTTATATTTTGATATATTTATATTTATATTTATGTATTTATATATTTATATATTTACATGAATAAATATAACTATAATTTATTTGTAAATTATTATTAGAATATCATAATAAGCTTAGTGGTTGGAGTATCAATTTTTAACTTTAACGGATCTGAGTTCGATTTTTATTAGTGACAATACTTTTAGTTTACAATTTACCTACGGATTTTTATCCTTAGGTAATATTTTGTAGATAATAGGTTTTTTTTTTTTTTTTTGTAGTGGTTGTTGTCCGTGAAAAATAAATTTGTCATCTCAATCAGAAAACAATACAAATAGTTTACGTAATTAAGATTGTATGAATGTTAAATCAAATGTCTTGCAAGGACATGCATGTATGAATTTTGTTGAAAATCAGAAACAGAAACGCGACAAAGTGGTGTATGAGGAGTTAATGTCATGTCTACTATTTTATGGCATTCCGCAGCAACCATATCTCTTTCACCCATTCACAACCAACCGTTTCCGTCAAAAGCTTCTATGTTTTGTTTAGATGGACGAAGAAAAGCGAGAAAACAAAGAAAGAGAAAAAAATGGAATTGTTTAGATTAAGTGAAGAAAAGTGAAAATGAAATTAATTAATAAATTATATATTTTATATAATTGATTATTTAATGTAAATAATGTTAATTAAATAGTGAATGAATAGTTCTATAGCTTGCAATTTAGTTATATCCATACTTATACAATAAAAATAATTATATAATTTTATTTTAAGATGTTAATATATTCATATAAAGCTCATTGTAGTCCCCTATCCTTAAAAAAATATTTATCTAATATATTCCTTCTTTATATCTTGTTCATATTACTATCTTTCTAATGTTTTTGCCATGGAGAACGAGGCCAACCAAAGCCTACATTAGGGTGTTATGAACAAGTGCAAATTGTCTTTCATGTCATGCATAATGTTCCACAACATTTTGCCTTCATATCAGAAGAAAGATATTGAGACAAACTCTAGTGCTGTTTTGTTTGAGTAGTGGCCACACAACCTAAGATATCATGCGAGGATTAATGCATATTTGGCTTAATAGCAAAGCAAGTTGGGGTGGGATTCCAAATGTTTAGACCACAAACTAATAAAAAATTAATTGTTTTACATGCATAATATATTGTGAAAAAACAAAATATATAACTATATTGAATAAGAAAGGAAAGTATATGAACAAGATATGAAAAAAAAGGAATACACTAGATAAATAAAATATTTTTTTATAGGATAAGGAAACTAGAAAAGAATTTTATACATGATATAATTAATTGAAATGAAGTTGAAAAATTTAGGAATGATGATGACCCACTCAGTCACGTAGACTAGTCACAAGCACACCACGTGCATGTGCATGGTGAATCTCAGAGTTTGTCGAGACCAACCCTTCAGTCAATATTTGTTTTGGCTACACAAAATCTCGTGAGAGCCTTGGAACTAATAAATACTAGCTCTAAAATCTCATGATATATTTTGTATCAAATTAAATGAAAATTTGGGAATGCGAAATCTAGTTACTCTCAGTATATATATATAGAGCACTGTGTGTATTCCAAATAATGTCATAACATAGAAGTATCAGCTTGAAACAAAGCGCTGTAATCAAAATTTCAAACTGTTGTATTAAGCAGTTTTTATACAGAATAATGTGCACAAACATCACCTTATATACATGGACAGTTTTCACGACTTAGCTTCAACTTGATTTGTTTTAACAATGTTTTGTATACACATATGATTTTCCACCCATATGTCTCCTTGTTCACAGAATGATGTGCAAGAACAATGATCTTGAGCTCACCCACCCCTAATAAAGTTATTTGGATTTAGTTCGTTGAGACCGAGTCGTTTTAAGCTGTTATATATGTATTGATGTGGCAGCATCTTCTACTGTCATGGCAGAATTAGAATTCTTGTCTACCCTGGACTTCATCATTGGCTTGATGGAATTATCTTCACTCTTCAGCCACCAAGGAACTTTAAATTCTAAAGCCTGATAAAAGTGATTAAAAGAAAAGTGTGTTTATAAACTATGTTCTAGACTACAATGATGTGAGAAAATTAACAAATCAATAAGTCCTAATTACACAAAAGATATAAACAATGTACTAATTAAGGAAGTAGCTAGAATTGTTCTAAACTCAAGACACAAATGTGGACCACAATTCATAGATCTGGGAATCGGTCGGATTTTGCATATAATACGTCCTGGATTTTCCATTGCTTCATGTTATTTAACAAATCTCAGTATACACATCCACTCATGCACCAGAACAAGAATAATACATTTTATAAGACTTCAGAACATATATTAAAAAAACGCTTTTTAAGAAGTTATACAGAATAAAGGTTAATATCAAGAAATAGGTAATGAAGAAAACAATGACTGTTATGCAGAAACAAAACTAGACAATAGAAAAACAAAATGAAAGGGAAAAGATAAGGTAGGATTTGTACAAATGATGGACCGGGCAAAAGTTGCAATGCAAGCATGACTACAAGACAACCTATTTAGATGTTATAACCATTTTTTTCTAAAAGAATGACCAAAGTTACTCTGATAAGACATAGATGTTTCTCTTGTTATATCAGACAGTTTTAGAAGATGAATCTATAAATGTTATAGGAATCTTTTCTGTCAGCATAATCAATCATTCACATACTTTTTGGACCACCTTAATGTTACAAAATGAGACTTCAGCTTACCCAACAATTAGCAGGATCAGGGCTAGCACCCAAGAGATGCACTGATATTTGTTGAATTTTGGTTTAATTATATTAATGTTGGATAATGTGGATTGAGGGGTTTTATGTAGTTTAATCTATCCCATGATAATGTTAAATTATTTTACACTGAGCATATATAATTATTAAACTCTTTTTTAGATTGAAGTTACCAAACATTACTAAACCGCATTCGACAATCCTTTGTAAGATTTGCTTCTTGACAGTAAGTCAGGCCATGTTTGGAGATGCTTGAAAAACTTTGTTCTGGCTGGACCAAAGCCCTAAACTGTTTTGAGAAATTGGGCTCCTGATATTTAAACTCCTCCTTTTGCTAAGTGCACTCTATTTTAATTCTTTATTTACAATGGCATGTTTACCCTCATTTTTTCTCTCTTTTGTTTCAAATTTTGGAAAATGCTTTTCAAAATGTTAGGAAAATAAAATGTGTTCCAAAATTCACTTTTTGAAATGTTGAAAAAAAAAATTTAGAAAGATATTAACGTGTTGAAGTACTTTTTTGAACATTCTTGACATTTTGGAAAATGCTTTTTAAGACATTCTTCCATTTTCATATTTTGGAAAGTAACGTTTGAAATGTTTAAAAAAATAAAATGTATTTTAAAAAGTAATTTCTAGAATGTTAAAAAAATATAAATATACTCTTTTTTTTTTTACAATTTAAAACATATTTATATTCTTAACATTTTTTAAAAACACAAAAAAAGAGAGAATAAATAGGTTATTTTAGAAAAAGAAATAGAAGATGTATTTAGCAAGAAGGAGAGTGTAAATAATAGAAGTTGTTTTTTAACTGCTTGAATATGGGATTTTAGCCCCTCCATGAACAAAAAAAAACTGTCTATATTGCATTTCGAAAGTCCAAACATATAATTTTTTTAACCATGCTTTAATTAAAATCTAGTTCTTCTTAATTTATCATTAAACAAATTTTATCATTCAAATGTTTGTTTTTTTCTTTTGTAACGGTTAAGAGTGTTTTTGTTACCTGATATATACCTGAAACAAGTTGGCTCTTGTTCTGGACCTACAAGCTTTGTTAAAAGGTGTAAAGAATAATTTTCAAACCTCTTTGACAAGTTGGTTTTAAATTCTTCAGTCAATGTTGGAGAAAAGAAAAAAAAAATTATTGAGAAAGATATGTGTGTTCTAGAACAAGTTGAAGAATTTCGATATTATGAAAGCAGTGTGATTTTTATGACCCCAAACACACAGAAGAATAAAAAAGACACAGTTTCTCTTCTTTTAAGCTGGCATGGCAAATCCTACTTACTATTTATTGGATGCTTCAAAGAATAATAGGTATTTATTTATGGGAAAATGTTGATAAATTTCTTTTGAAATCAGGTATGAGAGATTTAGGTAATTTATTGGATGCTTAAAAGAATAATATGTATTTATTTTGTAGAATGAGTTATAACAAGTCATATTAATTATCTTAAAAAATTTCAATATAGATGGGGTACCATGCATATTTTAATATTTATGTAAAATTTTATTTTTAATTTTCAAAAGAAAATTTATTCTAAAAGTATTTTTTTATCAAATTTACTGGATGAAAAACTGATTCTAATTAATTAGAACAATAATTAATTATTAAAATAATTGAACTTCACAATTGTCTCAAACTTAATCTTATTGTTAACCTAAATAAAAACAGATGTATGTATGCAATGGCATGATGCCACCAACAAAAGGAGCCGGCATTGCAATCCCAAAACAGCTCTACTTGTTTCTCGTAAGCCGCCAATTTGGATTTTCTGTACTCAACTTTCACGCGCCTTGTAAGCGTGTGCGGAACAAACTTCTCTTCATTTGTCTTCTGCCATCACCTATAGGAAGAAATATCTTCCCACTTTCCGTTTTCCATTCACTCTCATTGGACTTTTCAAATTCCAGTACCGCCAACGAAAATCACTGCTTTCTTCGCTGTTTACATTATAATAATAATAATTTTATTATTGTTTTTAAAGACTCATTATTCACTATTCATTCTATTCAATAATAAACTCAAATTTAAGTGTAGCATACCCTTTTGATTTGCCTTATTAGATCGGATTGCTACTATTTATTTCAAAAATATTCTCTTTTCTCTGTTGGGCTTCCTTCTTTTGATTTGATTTCATTGCCATGGCTCCAAATGATCCTAAGCAAGCTGCTGCATCTGGTGGTGGGGGCTTTTTTGCTTCTATTGCTTCCAGTTTGTCCAATTTTGGGAGTGCCATGTCCAAATCCGTTAATGGGTATGAATCATCTGGAGTCTGAATTTTGAAATTTGTTAAATTTATCTGTTTTGATATTGTTTTTTCTGTAATTCGTTCATCTGGGGTGTCTTAAGATCATGGATTGCCCCTTTTATTGAAATTTCTAACACTGCTAGATGCAAGAGATGCTTACTTTGGAAGCTCATCTTTATCAATTGGTTTTCTTTGTTGGTTGGATTTATTATCATATCACTTATGGATGCATGGTTAATGTAAGGGAATCTTGATTCTTTCAATAAATTCTGATCTAGTTTAGAATTTTGGATTCGAGTTCATTTTTCAGTTTCACCATCACTGGAAATATGGCTTTTAATTGTTTGATTTGTTTGTTGAAGCTTCTGTCTGTTTGATTGGGTTTCATGAGGTTTATTTTTGGTGAAACTGTTATTCAGTATGATGGGCTATGAGGGGCTGGAGGTTATTAATCCAGAAGGAGGAACTGAAGATGCTGAAGAGGAAGCAAAAAAGGGACGATGGAAACAAGAGGTACTTATTCTATTTTTGTATTGTTTTTGCATGGCACAGTGAAGATAAAGTAAAGATCACTAGGCTTGCGCACATGACTGTCTAAACAAAATATGATGACAGCTAGGGGATGAAAGAATAATCTGAGTCAAAGAAAATTTATTATGTGAGAAAGTTATTCCTCTATACTGATTGAAGTTGAAACAATCTAGATTCATAGATCAAATTGCTGCTTGTCATTTTTTATAGAATAGATGGGAGTGTGCTTGTTGACCTTGATGTTTTCTGCTTTAGTAAACATATCTGGTCTTGTGCATGTTAGGGCAAGCTTCTTGCTTAGTCATGGTGTTGTCTATAGATAATATGCAATTTAAACCTCTTTAATTATCTGAATATAAGTTAATTTTTATCTCAAAGTGAACTTTGAAGAATTTTTTCGCTCCTTTTATAATGTATCATTTCTGCATGTTATTTCCTTTACTTTACAGGATCGAGATAGTTACTGGAAAATGATGCAAAATTATGTTGGCTCCGATATCACATCAATGGTGACACTTCCAGTTATCATTTTTGAGCCAATGACAATGCTGCAGAAAATGGCCGAGGTCTGTGTCATATGTGTACATTGCTGTATTTCTTTGATTCTACATTGGCACAAACTATTTTTTAGCAAGTTTTTTTCCTGTGCAATTTCATTGATTGTTATATAATTTCACAGCTTATGGAGTACTCTTACCTGTTGGATATGGCGGATAAGACTGAGGATCCATACATGAGACTAGTATATGCTTGTAAGAATTACTTTCACTCGGTCTCTGTTATTTGTGCATACGTTGTTGCATGGAATATGACCTT